ACATGGACTAGCTCCTTCCTCGCCAATCGTGTGGTTCAAGTACGATACTCTGGGGGAGTCACTGCCAAGAGAGAGCTAGTGTGCAGAGTTCCGTAGGGCTCGCCGATCTTGCCACTTCTCTTCCTTCGATATATGGCAGAGCCCATGCGAAGTGGAACCCCGGGTCTGACGTTTAGCCACGCCGACGATATCGGTATCCTTGGATTTGGCCGGACGATTGCAGAGTCTGCAGCCGCAGCACAGGACGAGGTCAATAACCTATTAGACTGGGCTCGAAATAATGCCGTCGCTTTCGATACAGACAAGTCCGAAGTCGTACAATTCCCCGGACGATACCGCGAAACATCGATTAGAATTTATGTCAAAGGAACCCTCATAGAACCGTCGCAAAATGTCCGCTGGATTGGTGTGTACCTCGATCCTCGACTAAACTTCAAACACCACGTCACAACCTAGTGTGGCAAAGCGTTGAAAATTGCACAGCACATGCGTCGCTTCAATACAGGTTTGTTCAAATGTCGGTATGCGAAAATATAAAAAGCACAATCGAAAATCTGCGCGTCCTGAAATTCAAATGTCACGGGCTCAGCGTGCATATAGACAGCTACCAGAGGCAGAGGCCGCGGAACCTCTTGCCCCACCATTTTATCAATCGCGGCCGGGTTCGAAGGTTGGTTCGAGAAAAGACCAAGTAGAAGCCTGTAAACTTTGGATCACTAATGGGCCAAAGTCAGAAATCTGTGCTTACTCGGACGGAGCATCGGAGGGAAAGGGACGCTCAGCTTGGGGGTTTGTCCTAAAGCTGGATGGGAAAACTTTTCAAAAAGGAAGTGGCATAAAGCACGGTGGAGAGGCTTTAGATGCAGAGATTATGGGGGCACAGGAAGCTCTTAAAGCAGCGTTGGGTCACCTAAGAGGGAAGGAGTACCTGGCGAAGGGAACGACGCAGTGTATTAATGTGTTGATGGATGGTCGACATGCGATAAATGCACTGAGCACGGGCAGGTCCTCGACCAGCCACGAGGAAGTACGAAAGTTTCGCGAATTATCTGGGCTAGCTCAGGTAAGAATAAAGTGGGTAGCAGGACACTCGGGACTACATGGAAACGAGGAAACAAGGAAGCAGACGCAGCGGCCAAATCCGCCCTACGAACGCTTCCCAGCGTGGAAACTGAGCCAGCAACCACCACGACAGCATTTTTACACCAAAAATTGCATCGACAGCGACAGACTTTGCTCGACAGCTGGTGGAATGAAACTTGCCCGTCACAGTATCGTGAGCTAGATCTGCTCATGCGCCGTCGTAAACCACCAGAACTGGGACTTTCCAGGCTACAGTTACGACATCTCATTGCAGCCCGTACGGGCCACGGCAATTTCGCGGCGTACCATCGTCGCTTCAACAATCTGCACGCTATTACAGAGTGCATCTGTGGGGAGGAAACCACCCCTACCCACTTCATACATTGGCGACTCAACGCAAATATCACGCGTCGAATCAGAGGGTCATTGTCACACAATGCCTTCTTACACAAGCTACTCGGGCCAAAGTGCTTCGAGAGCTTCAAACAATTTGTGCAGGATACCAATTGTTTTGGGTATTCTCCTGTGCATCCATCTCTTACTCTCAATGGAGATCGAATATAACTCGTCAGGAAACTAAACCTGACAAAATTGGAATCGAGGCGAGGAGTATTGCTTCCCATTCTAACTTATTTGCAATTTATCTTTTTCTTTTGTCAGTTATGGGAAAAGGAGTTCGCGTCGGCGCATATTTTTAACTTATTGCTGGTTTTGTGGTGGTTCATGCGGTGGAATCAAGCTGGGTATGTCTTAGATGTAGTTCTGGCTGTGAACATCGGTCCTGTACTCATAGTGGATTTGTAGCTTTAGCTTAGGACTTGAATAAAACAACAACACAAACAGGTTCTATCCAAAATAATCTTTTGCTCTACCTGTGTCTTCTATCGCTCGTGTGCCAGTTGCCTTTTCTTTATGTCATTCTAATAACTAGTAAACTTATCATGGTCTCTTGTGGTGCGGCGAGGAGTTCGGAAAATAACCTGTTCTTTTGAAGCAATATGGTTGCGAATTTGGGTTCGTGTCTTATCTATCTCTTCGTTCGCTCATTATATCTGAGCATTCAACTTGCTTATTCTGATATTCAACGTATTTGTACCATTCAGCCGGCTTTCTAATTGCTGGGCTTTAGCTTCGATTGTTTCTCGCGCCTAAAAGTATCTTGGTGATTCAGAGTAAATCTTACATTTCGCTCGCTAATGTGTCCTGTCATACCTTTAAAGTTAGACACAAACTAAGCTATTATCGCTGACTGGTGGAAAAAATAAGCATTAAGCACGCTAAACTTATAATCAAAACATTTTAATAACAAAACATTCGTGCAGTAAATTCAAGCAGATCACTAGGGGAACCGAAAATAGGTACGCCAAAAATCAAAAGCTTTATATATGGTAGAATGGACTAGAATTTGTGGCGTGGAAGATGCTTAAGGTGGACAAAAAATGCCTGTAAGGTGGCAGCCCTCCAGGAGTGTAAAAGCTCATGAACACGTCTAGAGAATGAGGAATTATCTCATCATCGAGCTTCGGTAGACCACAAATATTAGAAAGCCTCAGAAACCGTCACAGACAAAACAACAGGCAGAAAAAGGACAACCTATGGTTTTACATCGTCAAATATCCATCGAAACCTTAGGAGAGCCTAAAGCAGTATTGCAGTTCAGATAAGGGAGCACATTGGTCTCAATTCTTATCTGTATGGAAGGAAAGTCCCCAAAGTGATTAATCCAAATTTCAGTGTGAATATCCGTTTGAAAATTTCAAGCATATATTAGTGGCGTGTCCTCGGCGGGCAAGGGGAAGAGGAAAGGTGCTTTGAAAGGCAAAAGGTAGGTCCTTTGCGGGAATGATGAACAGCCCAGATGATATAGAGAGAATTACAAAATTGATCCTTGCAAAAGGCTGGTTTGAACAGTACCGGCTCGCAGGAGAGGTAGAAATTGTACTGGACGAAAAGATAAGACAATGTGGACAAGGATAGGAGGAAATTCACTCTGTTTGAACAGTGTAAACGCACTTCCTGTAGGAGACCCCAAGAAAACCAATAGATATGAGACAGTCAGTTTTGAGGGGGGTTGTACCGAATATGGTTTCCTCCTGTGTAAATATTATAGCAAGATGTACCTGCGTGGGCCCATAGGCTACTTTAACAGGCTATATGAAATCAAATAAATGCTACAAACCATTTTTTCAAAAGAATCAGTCCTCGAGGCTATGGTTGTTAGAAGGGGATTTTAAGGGACGGTACGCCAGCTTCTCGCAAACATATGTCGAAAATGATATTTATTTTCTGGCTATAGGATGAATAATCTATATGGTATTTACCAGACTATAATGACTACGCGTCGCGTCGCATCCTGGACTTTACATAAGCAATTACACGATCCTAACTAAATTAGGAATGACGCCTGTTGGGAGCCGGATAAACTCCGGTTCCAGGTAAATGAGGCAGCAGCCTGTAGTAAGGGAGTTGGATTTGAATCTGAAGAAAATGACTGATCCTCAATAGCATTAGCAAAATTTGGCTAACTTTCACAAAAGGAATCTAAAATTCGGCTCAAGTTCGTCACGTCCTCGTTGCTGGTCATTTTTTCCTTTTAATTTGTGAATCTGATTTAACTATTAAATGGGGGCCGCGTCGCGTCTAAGAGGGTCCAACAAATAAGATGGCTCTCTCGTTGCTGGTTGGTAGTTGCTGAAGGCAGAACGCGGCAGGGCACGTATATAAGGGATTGCACAAAATTTCAGCGCACCTGTTACGAGAATATCGGGATCTGGATGAGTCTGTATTAATCACAGTGTGGTGCGATGAAGAGAGCAAATAAAATTGCGTACATGGAATTCTGCAAATCCCAAGCTCGCTAAGCCATTTCTGGTACATGGTTCCGTGACAATTCATCCTTAGCATCATGTATCATCTGTCCTGATCTCTCACGTCCATCCCGAAGCCAGGTCCAACATACTGGGTGCCTAGACATTTTGGTATCTCTGGAAATGAGCTGGCTGACACCTTGGCCAGGGAAGGGCTGTCGCAGTCCCCTCCTAGATTGGTCCCCTTCAAGGTTGCTAAGAGTCTTACTAAGGATGACTTAGGCCCTGCAATGGAAAAATACTGGAATGGCCACGCTCATGATTCATATAGATGAACCGGCATCAACTCCTATACCTGCTACCTGAAAGAAATCCCTCATGAAAGAAATCTTTTTTCAAGACTTTACGCTGTCTGTTCGGGACGTTGCGACCCCGCTATTTACATCTTCCGGTTTAACCATCCAGATTCACACAAAACATAAAGATAAAGTATCCTGTAAAAATAGTTTCTCTGGACAGTCTCAGCCATCAAGAGATTATGCTTACATCCTAGGTATGATTGAAGCCGAATTTCCTTTGATATCTAAGCGTGACAGTGACACTAAAATTTAGCCACGGAGCGCAGCTTTTCAGTCCGGGCGAGGGCAACTGGTAAAATTTAGCATGATCTGAAGTGATGCCCGACCAAAATCATCTGCCAGCTATCGTTACTGGCAGACAACTTGAGAAGATTCTCAAGAGGGATAATGGCCTGATAGTGAGGTGTTTACTAGGGCCATGATTACTCGAGATCGTGAAGATAACTCGCCTTAAGCCTACAGCGTAAATACGGTTCACAGGACCGAATTCGTGGAGAGGGGCGCTTCCTCGAGCATTTGTCATTTGATGACTAAGCACAGCTGACAGACCGTTTGGCGCTGTTGAGTTCGGGACGTCATGCTGTCAGAGTCCGTTTGACGTGACCCTGTTTTACGGAATCTTTTGCGCCAAATGACTACCCTGCAACATCTCCAATTGTTCATGCCGTCCTTCACAATTGCAGTTACTTTTCCTACCAATCCATCTGCACCGTTGCAGGGCCAAATTCAAGCCGTTTAAACACCCAGCCTGATGTCTTCTACGTCCGAAGAACCATTTCCATGGTCAGATAGAGCCTTATCAGATGTTATTGCAAGCGTTCGTATCATGAATGTTTTTGCTGGATTTACACGAGATTTCGCACCCATCATTCAACGGTTGGAAGACCTCAATCAGCGCACAACCATCCTGGTTCCCGCTAACGGCAGCATTATGTCTCTACCACGCAAACCTTGGGAGAGTACCAAAGATTACAAAACTTATGGTGAACAAGCATTTGAAGGAGCTGAAGGTAGGGAAAGAGCGAGGGCAAATTTGCAAAGTTTTGTCCAGGCTCATATATTGCCTTTTAGCCCTTGGAAGGAAGGAGTCAAGCTCAAGACACTTGCTGAAAATGAGGTTTGGTGGCAGCTCAAAGACGAAGACAGATTTGTAAATAACCCCTACCATTACGGCTTAACAGGCAGTCTTATTTTTAAGCTAGGTTCAACCAGCAAATGCTGAAGTTCTCGATGTGATTCGAGCGGGCAATGGTGAAATATGGTTGCTCAGTGGGGTTTTGGTATAACGAACGTCGACCTAGCAGCTCCAAAAGTCCATTGCTCAAGATACGAGAATATTTCGAATATATGGGCTCGGTGAGATTTGAGTCTATATTTTCTGGGTTTTTTTGTGAACTTGAAGCAGCCGTCATTCTCTGTCTTACTGAGGAGCTCAGCACATGTGAGGCTGGACTGATCTAGGATCCCTACCATACAATCAATCATCCTAGATCAAATACCCACTGTGCTGGATGGCATACGATTTTTGCTGTACGGCAAGTTCTAGGCTTCGGAAATAATAAAGACATATAACTGGGCCTTCAATCTTCAGAATATCCTTCCAAGCACTTATCGGTCTCGTCTTCATCGTTGCAACTCTTACATCGTCGATTTGAGACCTATGTCTGTCCGCTGTCTCTCGAATATTGCACAATAGTCTTCCAGTAAGAGAAGTCGCACTCACAGAACATAAAACGTTTAGATATTTCGAATCTCATATCATTAATATCATCGTGAGATCAATCTTCTAAAGCAAAGGCTAATTATAAAATTTACGGCAGCAAAAGCAGGTCCTCCACATAGTCAATAATCTGTCAAGCAATATTCCAAGTCTAGGCTTCGTTGGCAATGGGGGCTAAACAATCCCTTCTTGGGAGACCAAACTTCGGTGGAGAAATACAACTCAAAGAAAAAGTAATCCGATTCTACTCCACGTAGAATTTAATTTCTCTGGGATATTTTGTACCAATATCTATCTCACAGACTGAATTATTATTCAATACTGACGACTATTACTGTTGAATTTGATTTTGCTGCCATGAAATTCTTTGCTGGATTGAGGACATTGGTTTACCAACACTTGATTTCCCGCCCACAGTACCATGTAGGAGCACTTACAAGGTGTGATATGGGCCAGCGGTTCCCAATGTCCTATATAATCTCAGACTAAATTAGTACATTAAATCAATCACTTCACAATATTGCAATTCAAGGGTGTTTCATAGACAGAGGAAATCGCAAATACCTGTGGGTGCGGGGCTCCCCTAATATCTACATTAAGATTAAATCAAAACACACAGCTTACCTCTTATGGATTTTAAAGTCGTTGGCTAGCTGAGCGCTGCAGATTTTTAGGTACATCGATGGATTCACTCTCTGCCTTTCAAGCCTCCTCAAAACTTTTGCCCAAAGGTCGTGTTTAAGTAACAGAAAAGTCTTGATAGATTGTATTTGCAGTGTAGTAGCTTAGCTCAATTACTTTGTGACGTCTAATGAACTAAAGATTGTGGTAGCCTTATCGACGATTGAAGTTCCCATGGCTTCTCACCGGAAACTTTAGCCTTGGCAGCCTCAAACACTGCAAAGTCAACAGCCCTCGAAAACTGTTAGCCCCAGCATGTCCGTTAGTGAGCCCGTACCTCTTTCCTTTCTCACCCAAGCTGCCAAACCCCTCTATTTTTATAGCCCCCTAAGAATAAATATCCCAATATAGCTAAATCCCGAGCTTTGTGCTATTTGGCTTAGTTTTACCCTTGAATGTACACGTAGCGTCGTAATTGGGTAGTAGGAGAGAGAATCAAGTAATTAGAATGAGTTTGGTAGTATTATTGGTCAGTGCAAAGAATTGTCTGACTGTATTTCTTATTTTGTCTTGTTCACTTAGTTTACAATGATTTCCATAATACACGTCAACATGCCAAGCAACTAACGCTATTTTGCCCCTTGCTTGCTTCCCAACAGTCATTGTTATTGTGCGAGTAGACCTAATCTCAAGCACCGGAGATACAAACCATAACAGAGAGCTGGTGATTAATGAGGCAAGCTCTCGTTTTCAATCGAAGCAGCTCCTTGATCCGCCGTCGAGGCAAGATGGTATGTGCTAGGATTGAGTTAAAGGGCTAGAGTAAGAATGGTAGGACCGATATTGATAAGTCTTTGATCATAGATATGCATGCCACTGAATTCGACTTTGATTCGAATACGATATTTCTTGGCTATCCCAGATATTTAGAGCTTATTGAGCCTTTACGCCGGCACCACTGGAAGGTGAAGTATTCGTCTTTGCCGGCGAGCAGATTGTTAAATCGCAGTGTATTTTGTGCGCTAACCCTTGGATTGCGGGAGCGCAGGCGAAATTATAAACGTCGTCGTGTTCGGATGGTTCCATGGTACATTATCCGGCATGGTCTGCCAAATAAAATCTGTGTAGCATTGATGTCTAGCCATCTCGGGACAAAACATCGTTAGCTCGAGCTCGGCAAGTCTCAGTTATATTTCTCACGTTGGCCTTACGTATATATGAGGTCGTGCTTGGATGACCAAAGATTTTGGAAGTTTCTTATGATGGTTATTCACAAATTAAGATCTACTTTTCAGTGTAATCAAACTCACCTCGTGCAAAGGGCTCCTCTAAGTTTGGGATTGAATGAGGGCTTTTAAGGGGTAGTCCTGTTTGATAGCAGCTGTATTGAAGGCATAGAGGGGTATAAATCACTTGCATGGGTATCTTTGGCTTTTATGCAGAGAGGACCTACATGTCCTATATAGTCGTAGACTGAGAGAAGGCAATGAGAATAATTTAAAAAAACGCATCTTGTACAAGTATTTGCGAATAAAATCCAGAATTTGAGTATCTCTCGAGTAAAGAGTTATTTAATATGAACGCAATTAATTAATCGAAAGTCATAGCTAGATGGGTGAAAAACTGGAGAGACCTCCAGTGCGTCAAGGCAGGTAATATAAACCCAAAGCAAGAGATAACCCTATTTCTTGCAATTTCCTGCAATGCTTAGCAGCTAAGTTGGTAATTCAGTTATTAGATTACTACAACATATCTAGCACGTTCAGCAGTCCCTCTTACAACTCCAATTATCCCACGTCATCCTCGTAATAACATATAACTTCAAATCATGACTACCTTTTCAGAATTCTCGACATACGCCTCATGAAACACATAAAAGACTCTGTTCTTCATCGACCTACCAATCCCTGAGTAAAATTATATCAGGTGGGTCTTGCGTGTTAGTCAATGTAACTTTTCTTTCATACAAACTACCGCCACATATCCTGCACAGCAAGAAGTAGTCATACCATGTCCACACCACGGACATTTAACTCTGGTAGATATGACGCCATTTACTCCCAAATTTTGCTCAGTCACAACATTATCTGGAATGTTCATACAGGCATATATCTTGCTGGGTAAATCATGAAAGTACTTGCAAGAACAGCATACCACAAAAACTTTGGCAAATGGTTCCGACTTATTAGTCATAGATGATGGCTGGTCAGGTGGTTGTAAAGAGCGAAGAAAAGGACTTTTCGTTGTTAGATTTAATCGAGCATTTTTTAATTGCTTAGATCCATCCATTATTTCTTCCTTTTTATCAATAGTGTTGTTAACTGACTTTGGCAGATCCGAGATTTTGCCGGTTTTCTTCACAAGACCCCGCACGGGGGTAGCTGCGCTCCTTTCCGATGTGCGGGTAAAGGATTGATGCTTTAGTGGGGGGAGAAACGGTGTATTTGATGGTGAGAAGGGTTGGGTTATACTCTCTGAGATTGTTACATTAGGAGTATATGGTGTTGGGATATGCATAGTTTTTGTCGTGTTGTTTCTCATATCGTCTTTCTCAGTATGATCACCGGATAAGCTTTCAGATACGAGAGGGATCTGGCTAAGATCTTTACTACGTATTAGAGGCTCAACCGTATCTCCAATGCTGCTTTCAACTAATTTATTGTCTTGGAGGGAGTCTGCTGGTGTTGAGCTCGGCGATAATGGATGATCAAGTAGCATTTTGTCTGACAGTTTATCTCTGGAGGAATGCGGCCTCGAGGTGACAGGGGTGGTTATATTAGAAACACTACCCTGTATTGAGCACTCCTCACTTGAATCTGTCCCAGACCTGACATCAGACTTCCGCTTGCTTGTGGTAATTCGATGGAAATCACTCTTAACTTGTTCCACTAATTTTTGAGAATATTCTAATCCTAATGATTTCCGCCGACTATTTACCGCTGAATTTTCGGTTATAGCCTCGCGAAAACTGCTATTATTGCGGCTTATAGGGCGAGATGGTGGATCAGAATCGGATTCATCAAGATTAGGAGTCTGACATAATGTAGCGTAGTCTATAGCGTATTCGGTAGCCGACGGGGTAGGAGAAAAGGCTGTTTTGGAAGCACTTTTGATGCCTCTCAGTCCACAACCTGTGGAGAAGTGTCGATACGAGTTAGTTAATAGCTTTGATCTCCTGTGTGCCTTGTTCGTGACCGGGGAAAGTGAAGATTCGGCGGAGGGTTCAAGTATCTGGGATGTATCCTGACTCGCTGAACTGGAATCACTGGCCTGAGTCTCCTGGAATTCTTCATGGGGTGATCTTGACCCCTCTTGTTTCGTCTTTCTCTCAATTCCAGCGGCATAGGCCGGGATATTTGGAAGCTTTAGACGTGGGTATCGGGCACGACCGAGAATGGGATGCATTTCATCTGGTGGAATCAAGACTTTGTGACTTGAAGTTATAAGGGCGGACACCTGGCTGTGACTTCGGTTGGTGGGGTCAGGAGGGATTTGACTACTTGCGGACACGGGAGATTGATTAGCATGTGTGGATTCGGATTCAATATGAGAAGTTGGGTGCAGAAAAAGTGGATTGTCATCGTTATTTGACATGGTTAGATTTTTCTCGGCTTCTTGATAGATAATACGGTCACACATAAACACTTCAGGTTGCGTCAACGATTGATCTTCTACTTCTGAATACCATGCTGATCCATTACGAGTGTTCAAGGTTTTCATTGAGATTGGGGAGGGAACAGTTGTAATGTGACTGTCGTAGGGTTTTAAGAGCGATCTTAGTGAGGCATCATTGCGATCTCGTCTCTTGATTCCCCAGATGGCTCTTTGGACATTGGCTTCCTCCATCTGTCGCAGCTTTAATCCTCCGATAAATGATGATCCAGTATCTGGTGTAGATATGATTGTGTTTACGGGGTGGGATGGGCTAACTTTGCTTGACGTAAATCCAGGATCATGGTAGCTTCCCTGGGAATCCAGATTCACGGTTTTAGAGTTAGCGAGAGATGAGTCAATATTTGGGGGTATTGAGTTCTTTGATTGGTCCTTCTCGGGGCGAGAATAGAAATTTGGCGGTGGTTTACTAAGTTTCTTTGGCCGTGCGGCAGCTTTGACAATTTCCGCTTCTCTCGACTCCTCCCTTTGAAATTTTTCGCGCCATTTCTTTCCTTGTTTGTCTCGGGTGTTTTTTCCATTTGAACTATTCCAACTTGGGGAATGACATATGGAAGAGGTGTCGGTGTCGTTCTCCGAAATTGTGTCGTCCTGACTGTCTACAAACGAATATGATGAATTCTTGGGAGGCACTGTTGGGTTGTTTCTTGGTCGTAATCCTGGAGGAGATGTGGGATGAGCTGAGGTCATAGCGGCCCTAGTTTTCAGTGGTGAGATAGAGCTTTGATCGAAAAGAGGGGATTCGTGCCCGTAGTGGCCATATGATTGCTGGATGAGCGGAGCAGGAGCTGCTCTTCGCATTCTGATGGCTGATGAGCGGTTGGCCTAATGGTCAGACCCGCGCGTTAGCGGTAGAGCTTAAGCCAGTTATACCTGTGATATCAGAAGATCAGCGGTAAATTTAGTACGTTAAACCTACCCGATAATCGTTCACATCGCCCATCCCACGCTCTGCAGTCTTGCAGCCAACTTGATAAAATTCTCGACACGTTTTATAGTTCTCAAAGGTAAGCTTGGTTTGATAGGTGGCCGTGGAAGCCGAGTTAGATTCGGACGATTTTAGATGTTTGCTAAGGGGCTTAAGATTTACTTGCGCATGCAAAATATATCAATCCGAGGCACGAAGCACATAACTAGACTGCAGGAGAAGTCCGAATCGAATGGAACGCGCAGGATGGTGGAGAGGAGAAGGACTGAAGAAGAAGCTTCGAATCAACCATGCAGCGTAGCCTGAGGAGAATAGAAGAATAAGGTCAAAGAGCGGGATGGAGAAGAGGCCTAATAAGGGTGGCCACCGATGGGCGGGGCAAAATCAAAACATGGGGCCAAATTAGGAACGACGATGACGGTAAATAGCAGGGGAACGGGGTTAGGCGACGGCGAGAAATAAGAAGTTTGGCGTCTGGGCCAAGGCCGGCGATACGTCACTCGATTGGAAGAGCGGGTGAATGGGAGTAGATTTAGACGGTATCGACTAAGTGGTATTGTCACAGGCGTGAAACAAGTCATGCTCATCTCCCCGTAACACAATCGCCCAGCCGCCGACTGCACCAAGGAGCCCGGATGAAACTGCATCTACATTGATCCCGCGCCACTGCGTGTCTCAAGAAATTGCATGAATGTTAGAAAGCGCAAGCGTCCCTGGCAAAGACTTTGGCAAGACGGACAGGGTAGTCCTGATTATCAAAGGGACAAAGGCAGACGCGAGTAGGCAGGCTGAGGAGAAAGCAAGGTCATTCATCGATGGGCCCGGAGTAGCGCAGGGGTCAGGCGGGGAGAATATCTCCGCGATCATCCCGGTGTCAGCAGCGATGCTCGGATGAGAGTAGATGGACGGAAATGGAACGAGCGACACCTCCATCAAGAGTCTTAGCCCGACGGATACAGTGCTTGTAAAATGGTTCAAAACGAGACTACACCGGCCTCGCGACTTCCCCGCACGCCCGGCGGATGGATTTATCCGTGTCCACTGGCTTCCCCGCGTGGCATTGCAGCGCCTCGTTCCAGCTTAGTCCCTGGCCAGGCGCCCACTTTACTACGGTTTGGGCGTCGATCAATGGAGAACAGACGATTCTCGGGTGCAAGGCTTGTCATCGTCCTAGTGTGCGTCTGATTTTCCGGGCGTCGCAGGAGAGCCTAGGTCGTCTGCTTTTCATCCTGACATTCGGGGTACCGTTATTCAGCCAAAGCGACCCCTCAAACCCTGCTGCTTGTCGCCCTCGGCTTTTCAACGAGGCTTCGTTGCGCCTCGTCCAAACATCCAATCTAATCACCAAGCCCTCGACGCGTGTGAGAAGCTCGCCGAGTCGTGGGAAACCTACACATAGGTAGCTGACGCCATATAAGACTACCAAATGCCGTATGATACTGTCAAGTAATGAATTGGTGGTTATTTCTACTCGCAAACTCTCACTGCTCTTGTTGGCGTAAATTTCTAGTTGATCCACGCATCAGACTAACAAGCTACTATACCCTTCACATAATACTTCGGAAATTTGGCCTATAATACCAGCTTTGGGCCTAGAACATCCTAGCCTAGTTGATGAATTCCATTAGTAAGTCCAAGGTTTAGGCGCGAGAAAAGGATTTTAAGTTGGTCACTATTTCCTTTGGGTAGACTTAATCTGCAAGTTTCCTCTGAACACGAGGCTATCCATCTGCAGCCTCCTCTTGCCTCAGGTATTAAAAAGCCTGATGAGAATTCAACCATTGGGATCCCGGCTTCTAGTAAATGTGGCCAAGACAGGTAGCTTGACAGGCGCAACGGCTACTCCTAAATGCGATATGACCTTGTCGTTGTCTGAGACATATCATTCTGGGACATCCCCGTCACCGCAAAATAAATCACCCCCATGTTCATTTCGCCAATTGGCCCTTTCAGTCACCAAGATCTCCATGCTCTAAATTAGGTGGGTATCAGAATCCAGGCATTCTCTTTTCCAGCGAAGCCCCTTACCCGAATGGCTATCAACGTCAGGCCGTCAGAATTACGATCATCTTTTATTGTTAAGGAATCATTTTCACCCAATGCCAAGCAACCATCCAACTTCCTCAGGAACTAATGAGCGTTAGTTACACTCGTCCTAGGGAGACTAGTCTGAACACCTGTCAGTGGTGTCCCCTACGAACCTCCAGCTCTCACTGTACAGTCTGCAGTGCCGAGATTGCGTAACTCCTTTTCAACTTTGAGCTGAGTAGACTCCCTTCAGTCAAAGACATAATTCCGATAACACATAACACACAACACATAAGACGAGCAAGACGATGGTAATGATGCTGGGAATGAGGAAAGATAATGCGGTACCAAACGCTACAACGGTTGTCAGAGAAGCCCTCGTTATATCACAACGTGTGCTACCCATTGACGGGCGAACAAAAAGCCCACGAAAGCAAAGTTAAAGACCCTTCCGCCCTTAAGAAAATCAGATTTCGACTCGTCAAAAATATAGTCCTTACAACTTACAATTCCGAATCTACTAGCCAGGAGGGCATCTGAAATACATGAGTTACTCGACAACCCCACGTCCGTAAGGACTTTTGGATGCTAAGCTAGGCTCCCTCACGGCAGCCACCCTCGACCAAAACTTTTCTGACATCCTTTCACGACCTTCGGTTTGTCCTGCGGCATGAATCAAAGGTGGATAAAGGAGGTGGCTAGGAAAGTTGAAAGACGTTCTTAGGTATACACAGGTCTACTGCGCCCTGCTAGCCGGCTTCGTCATTGGAGAGCCTCGCACCCAGTTGTTTTTGAGAATTTCCCCTGCAGCTACATACCCGAAAATGGCCATCGTTTCGTTAGCTGGAGAGGGTAAATGGTGACGGGATAACGACCCCTTTTAGTGTGTACTCGAATCAAGACCTGTGAGTATTTCTGCTGGAAAGAAGTCGTGAAAGATGCATAGAAAGGAGTACACTACCTGAGGCATATATACTCCAGGTCTGTAGGTAGAAAGGACCTACATGTCTTTACAAAGTCATATACTTTATAGGATAATAAACACATACATACATTCACCCTACGTATACACAGGACTTAGGTTATATGTCATAGACTCGTGGACATATACAAAATAATTTATTATCAAGGAAATAATGATCCTTCAGTCATTAAGGTTATAGAGCTCATTCATTCAAGTGATTGAAAATCCAAGATTGACAGACCTCTAGATTAATTCGAGGCTCTGATTAATTGTAATGCTTATGTAATAGTGTTCACGTCGAAGTCCGGGCGCAAGATAAGGAATACTGTACTTAAATAGACGATACTGTTGGAATGTAAGTCTTTTACTAGGCGCTTAGTGCAGTGCATCTCTCTGTTGCTGAGTCATTTTCTTGATGACTCAGCCAACACCGCGAACTGGACGTTCGCAGTGTTCATAGATAGAAACAATAACAACAAGAATCCATATCTCACTTTCGTACCTTTCGTTTTGCATTGAACTAACCTTACGTATACGTAAAATAAGGCCAATCGACAGATACCCTATATCGGCAGGAAATTAATTCCCATACAGTCTTAAGCTCTATCCAGCCGGCAAAGACGAATTCTTCACCTTCCAGCGGTGCCGGTGTTATCGCTCAGTAAGCTCTGCACAACTGAGATAGCCAAGAAGAATCGCATCCGAATCGAATTCGAAAGCAAACACATCCACATCTCTATTTGACGACTTCTCGACAATACCACTCTTATCATTCTCATCTGATTCCTCAACCTCTTTCTAACCACGCATCATCTCGCCTCGCCGACCGATAAAGGCGTCGCCCCTATTGCAAACAGGAGCTTGCCTCATTTATTACCGGCCATCACTCACTACAAATTTACGACGCTACTTATACCCGCAAGGAGGAAATTAAGTCATAATATAAAAAGTTGGGTTCTTGGTTTATGGGGGACTGATGCTCTAATGGGGTTGTACATCTTAAGTAAGGACAGGCGCCTGAGATGTGGAACGAGAGGGGGAACAGGTCTCTGAAGAACATGCTGGGACTGACATTTTCGAGGGGCTTTCAACTTTGGATTTGGTGCGGGTTCCAAGGCCAAGATTTCAGCTAATTAGCCAGGTGGGCATCTTTTGTCGATGAGTCAACGGCACTCCCAAGCGCCCTGGACGGTACAAAAGAAGTCGGGCTAAGCTACCATACAGCAATCACGCTCTGTCAAGACTTTTCTGACATTCCAGCACAACCTTCGGGAAGGAGTTGGAAGGAGGCTAGAAAGGCAGAGTGTGAATTCTCCGAGGTCGAACGCTTCAGAAGGGGCAATATGTCTTCGGATTTAGTCCTAATGTCGGTATTAGGAGAGCCCCGCACCCCGCACCCAGTGGCTTTTGCGATTTTTCCCGGCTGCCATACACCCGCAAATGGCCATCGTTTCGTTGGCTGGAGAGGGGAGATAATGAAGGGCAAAGGGCTCCTCTAAGTGTATGATCGAATCAGGACTTGTGAGGGGTGGTACTGTTTGAGGGGAGCTGTATGGGAGGCATAGGAGGGGATATACTACTGGCATAGGTATCCTTGGCCTGTAGGCAGAGAGGACCTGCATGTCCTACATAGTCATAGACTCAGATAGGACAATTAAATGAATTAATTAAGCTCTATCCTTCACATTGGTAATTTGGAGCCCCGAGACACCTATAACCCACACCCTCACAAAGCTAAGCTAATGTTACAGGCTAATGCCTTAGTAGTTGAATCCGGAGACTATCCGGCTCTTTTTGAATACATAATGCAGCGCTAGTAACACGTTCGGGGTAGTTAGATAGTGATTAGAGCGTAAATATTTTCTCTCTTCAGATTGATATAAACTCATTTTTGGGCACTTTCAAGTGAACAGCAACATAGCCTGTCCTTTCACATATATTAATCTCAAACAATTTCTTGTTTTGAGTGACCTTGTATGAGCACGTTTAGAGTCCCATCGCCAACGGATTCTGCTCATTCCCA